CGGAAGCCGGACACTCAAGTGATAGGGCCTGGAGGTGGAGTGTAGCCTCAAACAGCAGCTGCTCAGGGACAAATGAGTCACCTTTCACTTCTCTGCTCTTTGAAGGACAGTTGGACCTGAGACTCCCAGGGGCTTCCATCTCTGCGAACTGGTGAACATTTCCTACCAAAGACTTCAGAGTCAGCCTTAGGACAGACTCTGCTCACACAGGATGTCTTAGGAGATTATCCAAGTCCCAGGAGGTCTTACTATTGAAAACAAAAATCACAGCTTATTCTAGACTCTGGATGCCACCTGGGCTTGCTCTGTTGCCCTGTCACAAGCCCCTTATTAACACCCATAGGGGGTCGCCTCAAGCATTGGAGAGGCAGGACCCTTAGGGAGGGTCTCATATGAAAAATGACCTAAGGCCTCAAATCTTGGCAGGTCTGTGCTACTCTTAGCCTTTTGCCTTTGGGTGGCCCAATCTCCCCACAGCTGTTTCTCACTTGTCAAACCTTGGAACCCAGACTATAACATCTACTTAACTGAAATTCCACTTAACTGAAACTCCGCTTCTTGTGTCCATGGGTGGCTTAGTAATCTTCCCTCTTTTCTACAATGAGAAGACATTTGGCCACTTAGGTAGCCATGAGAAACCTCATTCCAGCCATCACGGCAATCCTTTACCCTTACGATTTCACCCTTTCTTCCACTTCCAGCCAATAAAATCCCCAGCTGTCTAACAGCAGGCTAGCAGCTGGCCCAAGGCTTAGAGTGATAGGTGAAGCTGTCTACTCCGACGGCTTGCGATTCTCTGTACACAGGGTATGGGATGGAAGGTTTTTCTTCCTTTGAGAATTCAGTGATGTGCAGGGTGGGAGAGAACTCAGGAAGAGAGGCCCAGCTACTCTCAGACAAACACGCCCATGGCTGGTATAAAAGCAGTACTTGGAACTTGATAGACCTTGGAGCCTAGAGAGGGTAGCTATGGGCCAGAGAGTTGACCAACCAGCTGACCAGAAGGGAGCATATTGTTTCTGAGTAGCTGCAGGCTACATCCCAGGACAGTGACAGTCGAGGACAGAGGGATCCTGTAAAGACGTTACTGATGTCATTGCATCTAAGCCTCTGCCAGTCTCAGGGGGAGATGCTACAATTGACCCCTCTTTACAAACAGGGAAGTGGAGGCTTAGAGAAGCCCCACAGGCTCTGGGTATGTCCCCGGGGAAGAACAGACATAGAGCTCACGTGTAGGGCCTGTGCACATGGTGGGGAAATCCTCATCAACACTCTCCATGTTCTCACAGTCACAGAAGTGAGTGAGTGACTGAATAGAGCAGCTCTCTTGGACACAGAGTAGTTCAGAGCACCCTCTTCCCAGCAAAAATAACTGCTTAATATAATGTGCTTTGATCTTGGAGAAAACTCAAAATATCAGTCATTTAAATCTCTGAGAAAGGTAAGGGTCCACTGCAAATGGAGTAATAGTCATCAAAGTTCAATGGCCGTTGAACCCTGACTCTCTCACAGTTGGAGGGGCTTCTATTGCCCCCTCCTCTTCTTTTCTGAGACAAGGTCTCATGTATCCCATATCCAGCTAGACTGGAAATCGTATACAGACAAGGATGACTTTGAACTCCCGGTTTCCTGCCTCTCTACTGCTGTATTATAAGCATGAAGCAAAGGTCCTGATTTTATGAGGCACTGGGGATTGAACCCAGAACTTCATGCATGCTAAGCAAGTAGTCTATCAAATGAACTACACCCTCAACTCCCCTGCCCCTCTCTGAGCCGTGATCCCACTCTAAGGAGAACAAGATATTGTGTCCCCCATGTTTCTTGTTTCTGTGCTTCTGAAGTTCCATTCCAGGAGGCCTAACAGGATGGGAGAGCCTCCCTCATAATCCAGTGTAAGGGGCTCACATATTGGTGAGTATAAAGCCAGACAAACAGAGCCAAGACACAGAGCAGAGAAAGATTTGCTACATTTAGCAGGAAGGAGAGCATCTGAGTATTTCAAAATCAATTTCCGTCTTAAACTGAGGGAGTGCAGGACCTCACCCAGGAAACATATATCCATTTACATAGTGGTGGATTCATTCCTGAGTGTGCTCACTTAAGGTCATGATTTAAGAAGGAAAATAGTAGATCTATTTTTAGGGCATATTTATTTCAAGGCCATGGTAAGGTGGGATAGAAAGATAGGAAAAATCTCGGGGAACATCGGAAGGGAAAGGTGGCTCTCACCTGGAGACCTAGTTGATGTTTAAAGGAACTCCAAAACAAATGATAACACTGTTAGCTTTCAGAAATGCTGGTTTCCTAAAAGTCATCCCAGACAAGAATACTATAAAAGCATGCTTGCTTAGGGTCAAGACATTTGTGACCTTGAGTTTGGCCCCATTAGCATCCCTCTCTCATCTCTAAACCTGAATGATACACCCCATAAGTTCACCTTGTAACTTCATCTACATAAGGAAATTCTTTAACATAAGATAAATAAGTCAACAACTTCATATGCTTTTATTTAAAATTTGAACTGCTTAATTTCTAAACTCTGCTTAACCATTAAGTGTTGCTGTAAATGATACCCTTTGAGGAATGTGTCTTCGAGAGTACGGAGTCCTGAATCCAGCCATTGCCAAGACACTCAAATGGGGAGAGCAGCTCATCCTTACCAGTTACATAATGTCCTTCTCCTAAGTCTCTCTCCCTCCCCTCCCCCTTCTCCATCAGCACTTATGTATCCATGAAGTGCGAGTGTGTGCTGTCCTTGTCTTTATTTAATGATCTTGGTTACTTTGCTCCACTCTGATTTACCCTGAGATTCTTTACTGCAGTGGAGTCAGTGTTCTGGGTTTACCTGAATGGAAGCCCCCAAGGGAGGGAGCTATTAGGCCACCAACTAAAGCTCTGAGCTGCAGCCTCCCCGCCTGCCACTGGAGCACCCACTGAAAGGGTTTAAATGATAGGAACAGAAGTACTTCAGGGTAAACTCAACTTGTATTATAAAGTTTTAGTTGGGAATAAGGAAAAAAACCTTTCTGTGCAGAGCATATCTTAATATAGGAATTTTCCTCTAATGCTGTGTGTCAGGTCTTCTGAGCCCCCAGCCATCTCCAGGAAACTCTATTGCAAGCGCAACAGGCTTACAATATGACAGCCTTGATGGCTCCACCTCATCTGACTCCACATTGGGAAGGACAAACCAAGACTATTGGGGTCTGCTTCCTCCTATGCTTACCCACCCAGGAAAGGTATCTCCCAGGGAAACAGGCAGTCAGCCATCATTCCTCTGCAGGACTGTGGAGGGGTTGCCCAGGAAGAAAGAATGAAAAGCTCAGAGCGCTGCCTGGGGGAATGACCTCATTCAGAACAGGATGTGAAGAATTCCATTCACACGGAGTTCTCAGAAACACTGTAAACACATCCTGCGGAGTATAAATACAAGGGTATTCAGAACTCCATGGTTCCAGTAGCAATAAACAAAATGCTGAACCCTTACTTAATAGAGACCTGAAGACAAAGAGCCAAGGGGAACCCTCTTGGGTTCAGCCTGTCTTGGGAGTTGGGGACACTGCCGTTAATATGGAAGTCTGTGCCCATTCTGGAGCTGTCAGGTCAAGGATGTGTGTAGGCATCCATTTGCTTTATTATAAAATTATTCCACCTGTATGCAGATCCTTTAACAAAGGGTCCATGATCCCTGAGCTCTGGCCAAATACTGATTAGGAACAACTCCTAAAAATACAAACCTTAAACCTAAACCGAGCACTGTCTAACAGTTCAGCACACAAGGTCATGTCCTCTTAGGAGCCAGACAGAGGCTACGGAGTTATCTGTCCCTGACTAAAGGCAGGGAACCATAACCTAATTTATTAGCTGTCTCCAAGCCCCCCTTCCCTCCCCGTTTTCAGTGACAAAGTGTATCTAATTGGTTCAAGGATTAACCATAACTATTGACCAACAAATGACTGTTGCAGACCCAGGAGAAATGCCTAGGTAGCCATGCTAAAAAAAGGGGGGGGGGAATCCAAGTAGGGACACCAAAGGATGAACACTGTGGGAAAAAAATAGATTGACTTCACAGAACTAGTCCAGTCAAGTTAGTAAACAAACGGATAAAGAAACCAGAGTCCAGGTCAGGAGGGAGGCAGAACCAGACCTCAGAGCAGCAGTGTGCGTGCGTGCGTGTGTGCATGCGTGCCTGTGGTAGCCAAGAGGTCCCGGTGCTAAAAAAGAATTTCCAAGGACACAAAGAAACAAGAAAATGTGATGCAGAATCAAAAGAAGAGGGCAAGAAACACAGCTTCCAAGAAGCCCCAGATGTTGGCTATAGTTGACTAAGACTCCAAAACTACCGTTATACATTTGTCCAAGGAACCAAAATAATCATATTTAAAGACTAAACATAAAGGATGGTGCAGAGTGAGACGCTGGGAAAGCAAAGCACAGTGCTGGAGGGTGTTATGTGATGTAAATTAGGAGGGTTTAGAAAGGTCAAAGTCACAAAGATCCAGGCAGATTAGTGGTCTCAGAGGGCAAATTGGGAGGCGAGGAGTGGGACTCAGTGGTTTCTTGACCGAACTTCATTGCGGGGAGAGGGGGGGGCGGGTGATGAGGATACTATGAACTAAAATAGTTTAGTAGTGCGTGTAATGAACTCAGTTTATAAATATGCTAAAACCCATTTAAGTTAAGTTGGTCAATTTAATGAGAGTGAATTACATTTTAATAAAGATGTTTTAAAAGAGTAAAACCAGCTAACCAAGCAAGTATCAAGAATTTTTAAAACTATGTAAGAGCTGATGAAATGTCACTCATAGGCTTATGTGTTTGAACACCTGTTCTTCGGTTAGTGGTGCTGTTTGGGGGGAGTTATGGAATGTTTAGGAGGTGCATCCTTGCTGGAGGAAGAACATCACTGGGGTGGGTTTTGAGGGTTCTTAGCCTCATGTGACTTCTTCTCTCTCTCTCTCTCTCTCTCTCTCTCTCTCTCTCTCTCTCTCTCACACACACACACACACACACACACACACACACACACACACACATTTCCTGTGTGTGGATGAAGTATCACCAGTTGGCTTCTAGCTCCGACTACTTGCCAGATCTTTTCTGTTATCATGAACTCTAGCTCTCTGGAACCATAGGCCACATCCACTATTTCTTCCTTAAGTTGCTTTTGGCCGTGGTATTCTACTGCAGCAATAGAACGTAACTAAAACAGAGGCACAGAAAGAGGGCACCAAGACCCGTCTCCTCCGGGTTATGGGGTTTGTTGCTTCTGGCTTCTGTCGTGTGTCAGCTGGATGATCTGTTCCTGGGGCTCTAGCCCTGAAATCCAGAGTTGAGGTGGTCTTTTGGATCTGCACTGGCCTTGCCTTAGACTAATTTAGGGTGTCATGGTGTTTCCTGGTTCTTCCCTCACCATGAGGTCTCTGTAGTAAAGGGACACACCCGCCCACACCTACAGTCTGTGTATTTTATTATTCCCTGACTGCACTAACATCCCTCATTGGTGAAAGTCAAAATAGCTTTAATGCCCTTGCAGTCAGAGCTTATAGTCCTCCATTAGGTTTCCAGGTTTTGACTTGAGCAATGGGTTGAGTAGATCTCGCCTGCCTACTGCAGCCCTCCTAGCTTGCTTTCCACCTTCACTACGACAGTCCGAGCAGACACATCCTCTATTGCAAGCAAGGTCTGGAACCTCGACCATGCTAAGCACCAGGCTGATACCTCCTCATTTCCACACACCCCCTCCCCGAAAGAATACTTCATAAGCGGGGAAAATTATACAATGAACATATTGCTTATCTAGACTCTAGCATGTGTGCTTCGAGGCCCATCCCTCAGAGAACCCTGGTGTGAGCCCCTTCTCCAGTCACAGACTATAGGGCTCTTCCTTCCTGTTGCTTGTACACTGTGGTCATCTATAAGGAATAACGTGTCTATTCCTCCTGGCAATCGTCCCGCAGACCAAACATACTGTTTAGAACTAAGAGATGTGTTGCAAAGCTTTTTACTGAGAAATATCTAACTCAAATTCCCTGTCACCTCTGTAGCCCCTGGATGGAGAGCATGCCTGCTCGCTCTTCTCCCCCCACGTGCCCTTCTTCCCTCTTCTTCCTCCCTTCCTCCCTATTTTGAGCAAACATTTGTTAATCATTCATCCTACTCCCAGGTGCCTAAGCATGGCAGACATACTTCCCTGTACTCGGCAACTCTCTGAGAGCAGCGCCCCAGAGTCCTGGCCTGCAGTGAATACTCTATGCTACGTCCTGCTTATTCCTGTTACAGGCTCGCAGACTCTTTGTAGCCTACACCATCTTCTTGGAATCAGAACACTGCCCATAGAGTGGGGGTGGGGTGGGGTGGGGTGGCAGGAAGCCCTTAGCTATCCTTCTGGAATGAGAGATGCTCTTCTTGCCAGTTTTCCCGGCAGTCAGCACAGAGTGGCATTGTTTCCCTGGGGATTCTGAAATGTCTGATGCCCAGCCCAGGCCCAGAGAATATGCAGAGAATGCAGCCCATTGCCAGGCTAGTCTCACTTGAGATCTGAAGCGTCCCTCCAATATCTATCCTGAGCAATCTTCTCAGGATTCATGGCCACTTCATCCAATACCTTTTGCTGAGATACTCACACTGCTGATGTACCCTTGGGCCTTCAGCACTAGTAGGCTGCATCATGTGCAAAATGCAACATTGGGTCCTTGCTGAAGGCTGAACCCTTTGCTGGGTGCAAGGGAAACTGAGTTGGTATCTTTCGTTCCTTTGGGACTTAGCAAGTTGGGTCTTCAGCCTTGTGGAAAATGGAACCATGATCTATTTCCCCTCTCCTGGTCAAGAAGGAGGAGGCTGTGTTGATTCCACATGGGAAAGCCCCATTTGTGCCACCCTGGAGATCTCCACAGATCTGGCATGGTACGTTCTCTCATAGTTCCAAAACCCCAGCCACCATTGAGAAGTGTAGAACAGCTGACCAACGGATACCCTGAGTTCTCGACAGGGACCACGGCTATTAGGAGTCCTCTGGCAGGTCCATCCATCTGTAGACCTCTAGCTGAGAAGCTCAGAACAGGTCAGTGGCCATGAGAGGAGGCAGAAAGTGTGGGGTCTGGGAGGGAGGGATGATGGGGGTGGTGTCAGAGGCAGTTTCCTCTGGCCCACTGTCACTGTCATCACCCAGGCCTTCAGTGAGGGACGGAATGATTCTGACCACACTGTCTTCAAAGTGAACCTGCTTCTTCTTGGCCAAGGAGTCAGTTGGCTCCAGCGCCAGTTCCATTAGGGCACCTTGGGGTTGCAGGACATGGGGCTTCTTGGTGCCTTTCAGGATGCTCTTCATGTGGATGAAGAACGAGCCAGGCCCCTCCTTGAGAGCCCCATGGAAAGTGTAAGTTTGCTCGGTGTCCCCAGAGCCTGTGGTGCTCACGGTGCTGCTGGAGGGGTCTGTGTACTGCTCTGTGGGGGCCGGCGCCTCTGGGGAAGCCTTTCTTTTCTTCCGTTTGCTCAGCAGGAAGTAGGCCAACCCAGTGATGATTAGCATGGAGCCTGGAAGAGATCTGGGAGGTCAAGAGACTGTACAGACATGCCAGGGAGGAAAACTATAGGCCAGGAAGCCTTTCTCTCCACAGTGCCACTGTGGTACTGTGTTGTACAGCCATGATCAGTACCCCAGTAGGTCCAGCCTTCACACACCCACATCAGACTCGGGCTGGCATGATGGCATGGCAAGGTTAAAAGGTTAAAATAGGTCTAGGGCTTTGGGGCCAGGGTACCAAAAAGGGCTCCGTTGGCCTCTTGAGGGATCCTTCTGATCTCTGTGCCCCAAGTTTCCTTCCTATGGAGAGGTGGTCTTGATACTCACTGCCTGAATAACATCACTGCTCTCAGCTTCCCACTTGGGAATTCATGGGACAAGGCATGCAAAGACTTTGCTACATACATATCCAGATGCTGGTGTGGATACTGAATCTGTTGGTTTTCTTCTAACTCCCAAGGATGTGGAGATTCCCCAGTTCCCACCCAGCAATCTTGGAGAGATGTGAATCTCTCCTCTGCACTAGCACAGAGAATACTGGCCATGGCTCACCCGTGCTACCCTGAGGACTCTCTGCAGTAGATCTCCTGCAAGGAGCACATCAGCCCACCTATGGGGATCCAGGAATCTGACTGCCAGCGCCCACGAGTCCCCGGAACTCCTAGAACTCCTAAGTCTGCCTCTTCAGGGAGCAGGGCTTGGGGCTCTCTCAGTGACCTCCAACGACTTTCTTCAGGGGCCATGGCACACATACTTAAGGAGAAGACAGTTCAATCTCCTCTGGTTTAGTCTAGGGAGTTTTTTGATATTTCAGATGGGCTTTGGGAGGGGGCACAGTGCTCATATAAATAAGGAGGGATGAAGAGGAGGGTTGTAGAAAAGAGGGCAAGAGACAGGTGCAGAGGTGAGGATGCCAGGTCTGGGGTAAGAAACTGAGTCACCATGCAAGGCATTAGGAGGAGGAACAGGAGATAAGGCTGACATGCTGTTTGAAAGTGGTCAGTGAGAAGAGAACCCAGGGTTCCATCGAGTATCCAACCTCAGAAGGCTGTGTATAGGAGGGCTGAACCTCAGGATGTCCCTGCTGCTTGGTCAGCACAGGGGACATCCGACAGTCGTTCTCACATCTTAGATCAGAGAGGGCAGAGGGCCTGGTGGGGGCTCTGGGAGACAGGACCCGCTCCTCCTGCTTAGATCACCTCTGTTCAGGGCCCACCTACCTCCATTACCCTTGGAGGTCCTACCTGGAATGGTCACATGCCAGACCAGAACAGGGTGGAGGAAGCAGGCCACAGACAACAGCGTGTAGGCTAGGAACTTCTGGAAGCAGCCCAGCCAATGGGCCTTCTCCCTTGCTCTGTGTGCCAGAGACCCCGGCTGACACCTGGGGGAGGGGATCAGGGTTAGCAGTTTAGTAGAAATTATTCTAGGAAAGTCCCAGTTCCACAGAAGGCTGTGGAAGCCTGGGGTGGAGATGAGGGGGCAGGGGTGCAGTCCGAACCCTGTAGAATCCAGCCCCATAGAAGGCTGTAGAAGCCTGGGACTGAGCCCTGCAGTGCCCAACCCCACAGAAGGCTGTAGAAGCCTGGGGCTGAGCCCTACAGTGTCTACAACCTCTATGTGGCTCTTGCCTGAGTATCCAAGGGGTTGGAGTCACAGAAGCCCAGGGTCCTCACTGTGGAGTCTGTGGTTAGAGAGCTTCAGTCACTCTAGAGGGTCCATGGGGTTTCTCAAAGGCTTCCCTGGCCCTTGCTTTTAGCTGTGGTTTTGGTCAAGAGGAAAGTAAAGTTGATGGAAGTCTCAGGGCTTTTTTGAAAGTCTTCAGAGGACAGGAATGGTGTGCAGTACAAGAACTACACTCCCGGAACCACTGTGGGGATGGAACACTACACAAACAACAGGCAGGCTGGGGTTCAGCTGCACCATGCTTGCTGAACCTTGCCAGGCCCGGGACAGAACTGGCCTGGAAAAGCTTCATTTTTTTTTTCTGACACCCAGGAACCACCCAGGGTGAAAGCAGAGCCCTGATAGACCGGGCAGATGTTTCAGGGGTCCTGTTCTCAGGTTTCAAAGACAATTCCTGTCTTCTCACGTGGACCATGCCTAGAACAGCTCTTTGGCGCCCTCTGGTGTCTCTCTGTGGGTATGTGTCCATGTGTTCGTTCACATACATACAAACAGGCATGTCCTTGGGTAGTGGGAGATGGTACAGAGAGGATTCTGGGACTGAAACATGCCTGCAATGTCAAGAATCCTTTGAGGCAGAAATCAGAAGGGGACACTATCACCCATGGGCTAAGTCTGAGAAGCAGCTAGTGACTCCCCACCCTCCAAGGTCCTAGGTCTGGCTAGCTCTCTCTGAGGTCTGGCTTTCACTGACCGTTTGGAGACCGGACTATGTGGGATCTGCTACCCACAGTTCAGGTTCTGAGCCCTTACCACCCTGATGCCAGTGCCACACACTGAGCACCTGCTGGACAACAGTGGGGTCTTTGTGGTGTGAGTGATGGAAAAGCCAGTTCTTACACACTGCTCTGTACCCCAGAAGCTAGGCCTCCTGCAGGACCTCAACCTGTAATGGACACCATGAACACAGGCCCAGAAACGGAATGTCCTGGAGTAGGGAAAGCTGACTTGGTCAGGGAGTCTGGTGAGAGGCAGACTCTAACTGGATCCATCCAGCTGAACACAGCAGAAAGCCGGTGACTGGTCCGTGGGGTTTGTTGCTTCTGGAGGGATAGCCAGTCCACAGTGGCCTCAGAAGCAGGGCAACCTCAGCCGTGACTCCGTAGGTGAGGTATCTGTCTGGGGTGGGGGCAGGAAGGGTTGCAAAGGTCACTTCTGGAGGCTACTTACTTAAAGCAGATGGCCAACAGCTGAGCCACAAAGTAGGTTCCTTCACACACAGAGATGGTGACTCCTGTAAACCTGTGGATAAAAACAAAACAAAACAAAACACCAGAAGATAAGTGGATTTATCAAGGTTGTCTGGTGCAGTTCCTCTGACCCCAGACATCTCCAATGACACAGTGACCGTGACCTCACTACCATATATTCATGTTTACCAAACATCCCTAGTGCTGCCAGATGGCATGTGGGCCTGTCCTGGAGTGACTGAAGCTAGGGGGCAGCGGGGAGGAAGAAGCAGAGGCTAGCAGGTAAGGTGGCTTGTGTTCAGTATTTTGTGTGGACATTGGAAGGCATATCTGCCTGATGGCCTAGCCCTGAAGTTGAGCGCTGTTCTCAGTTTGTCAACTTGACTCAGGCTACAGTCATCTAGGAAGAGGGACCTCAGTTGAGAAGATGCCTCCAGATGCAAACACCGGGATGTTGTATCTTTTCTGTTTCAGAGTAGTAGACAACAACAGGCCCTTTGAAACAGCTTTCTGATCTTCTTCCTCAAGCCCTTTCAGCCCTTTCTACTGTGCTTGTTGGACGGTTGGGTACCTCCTGGGCTCTATCAGATTGGCTTGTAGGCAAGTCTGTGGGCATTTTCTAGATTAGTGATTGACGTGGGAGGGCCCAGCCCACTGTGGGTGATGTCACTCCCAGGGCAGGTGGTCCTGGTTGTGTAAGAAAGCAAACTGAGCAAGCCATGGAGAGCAAGCCAGCAAGCAGCACCCCTCCATGGCCTCTGCTTCAGTTCCTGCCTCGACTTCCCTTCACGATGGATTTCAACGTGAAGTGTAAGCTAGATACACCCTTTCCTCCGCAAGCTCTCTTGGTTATGGCTTTTATCACAGCATGAGAAAGCAAACTAGGGTAGTCCTGACGAAGAGCCCTCTTTTCTGTCTTCTTTTTCCCCAACTACCCACCCACCAAAAGCAGCTGGGAGCCTTCCTTAAACGCCTTTAGGTTGACTTCCACTTTCTCTGGCCTCATGTAGCTTCAAGGGCTCTGCCCTTGGCCTTCCTGACTCACTGGTCTGCTTCTCCTCTTCCTCCACCATCACCAGGCTGCCAAGGATTCTGGGACACACTGATCTGAAGATGTTTGTCCTGCTGCAGACATTCTAAAACCAGAATCTCCTGGGGGCATATGTGAAATCACAGGTTTCTGCCTAGCTTCTTAATTTTATGTATCAGTATTCTTGTGAATAGAATTTCAATTTCTATTCGAAAGAGCACTCCTAGCCCATAGAATTGAAATGGTATATCATTTAAATTTCTTTGTAAGTAATACCTATATTGTCCTGAGTATATAGAAAGTTATCACGTACCACAGGACGCTTGCCCTTCTCGGAAGCCCCCTCCTCCCTCTGACATCTGTTTCGTGAACTCTTATTATCACAGTGGCCAGAGTCACTAGTTTATGAACTCCTAAAGGGTTTTTCTGTATGATTACTATACGAGACCTGGGCCCACCCCAGGCAGGACTTACAGGTAGTGCTCTGTGAATACCCACCACAGTAAAAGCTAGCGAGATAGATGTGACAGGGAGCTCAGGACCACTGTCTCCTTAGAGTCACAAGTCCTGCTTCTGTTAGTGATCAGCTGTGTAAATGTAGGTAGAAACTTGGCCTTCTCGTGACTCAGTTTCTCACCCGTAAACCGGGGGTAACTATAAGGCTTCATCAATAAAAGTTATGAATTAAATGAATGGATGTCTGCAAGCCCTGTGGAGTTGTGCTTGGACTGCAGCTTACTGTCCCCCTCCCCCAACTCTGATCATGGTAATTGATCTCTGCTTTCTCCTGCTCTCCAAATGCTCCCAGTGTCTCCCCAATTCCTACCCCTTAATTTTGAAATGATAGGAACATAATGATAGAAATGTGCCAATCACACTCCTAGAAGCCTTATAGAAACCAGAAGTTATATTATCGTCAGTTATGGATGATGAAACTGAGGGTTAGACCCTTGTCCAGGGCTATACAGCTCATCGGTGGCAGGTGCGAGAGGGGAAACCCCCAGACTTTGGAGACCATGTGACTAAGAAGCACAGGTCAGGGAGGGGAAGGAAAGGGCAGAAGATGCAGCCTGAGACTGTGTGGGCAGAGAGGGGCTATGGATCCATTCTACTGCTGGGACACAGATGTTTCTTCTGGCATTGGAGGGAACTGCTAGCAGCCAGGGATTGCAGAGATGCTGAGTCATATACCCAAAGACCCCCCAACTCCCTCACCACTTGTGACCACTGCACAGCCATTTCTTTCCTGCTAGGGTTATTGGTAGGCACAGCTGGTGGTGGAGAGGTAGGGTCAGCTTGGTAGGCAGAGTCTAGTGTCTGAACAAGGGACTTGCTGCTCACTAGCCCAGTGATAGGTTGACTGCTTAGACCTGAGTTTGACCACCTCTACAACTAGGCCAATATACACATCACTTATAATGCTAAATGAAGGCCTACAAATAAGACAGTGAACTGTACTTGTCATGCAGGGATATACACACACACATACATATATATATATATACCCTAATATATATCTATGACTAGAGAATGTATATGTATATGTATATATGTATGTATGTATGCATGCATGTATTGGTGTTTGCTGAATAAGAAAGTGATTATATAGATGCCTGGATATGTGAATTTGTGGATAGATGGATATATGATGCATAGAGTTGGTGGATAATAGATAGATGGATGGGTGTGTGGCTGGCTGGCTGGCTGGCTGGATGGCTGGATGGCTGGATAGATAGATGAATAGATGGGAGAATAAGTGGTTAGGTGAGTGAGTGAGTAGGCAAGCCTGTAGATGAATGAAAGGGTAGGGGGAAAGGTTGGTGGGTGGTTGGATGGATGGATAGATGGATGAGTGATTTGATGAGTGATGGGTGCATTAGTGGGTAGGCTGTATGGATGAGATAGATTCATGGGTGATGGATGGGTGGATGTGTGGTAGAGCAGGCAGATGCATGTGTGAGTGTATGGGAGGATGTTGGTTGATTTATGGAGCCTTCCCAAACCAGGACTTAGAAACTTCGGTGGCTCCATCTCTGGGCTAGGGTGGCGTTAGCATGGGAAGTGGATTACTCTGTGTTTCTCTAAGAAGTAGACAGACATGGGATGAGCTGGAACAGAGCACGCAGGCAGAGAGAGCACAGGTATGCATACTCACAGCAGATAGAAGGCCAGGCTCTTGAACTTCCCCTGGAGGAAGGTCTCGGTGCCCACTCCGATCAACACTGCAGGGAAAGAGAGAAGGGAGAGCGGGTCTGGGTTTACTACTCCATGGCATTGTCCTTCGGGTGCTCTCGACTGAGACATGAGTTTCCTCTTGAGGTCTCAGGACCAGAGTGGTTCCCTTCCATGCGTGTTGACAGGTGTGGCTAGGCAAAGAGAGCAGGACGATTTTTGGGTGATCCCTGAAAACTCCAGGAAGAGCCTGGAGAACTCTCCACCCTACACCATAGAAGTCAGGGCACCAGTTCTTCAGGTCCATGACTATTTTCTGAGATGACTTCCGATACTCTTGCCATTCTGACCCAGGCCAGGGTATATGTTTTGTGCCTCACCATGGGTGAATGTTGTCTAAATTCCACTCTCTTGCTAGGATCACTGAGCTTGTGGTTGGTTATGTGGTTAGGTGACAAACATAAGATTGTCACCTAACATTCAGAAGGTGTTCAGCCTAGAGTAAAGAAAGTATTTGTTCTGACAGTGGCTCTCATAATCAAGAAAGTATACTCAGAATTTAAGAGGACGTTTACTGTGAATTTAGGGTGATATTTACTCCCATGTTGGCTTGAGCCCTCTGAACCCCTACAGAGTGACAGAGGGTAACGCACAACACATATTAAGAAGGATGGGACTTTGGGGCTACTTTATACTGACAAAGCTTCAAGAAGGACCTGAGATAGGAAAATCAATGAGCAATGCCAGTGAATGGCAAAGGGCTCTTTGTCCACAGTGAGTATAAGCATTAATGAAGTAAACTATGAAAGCAGTTGCGTTCTTTCCTCTTAAGAGGGCTGATAAGGATAGACTCATAGTTCCATTAGCCACTGTCTACGTCCTCACCACACTCTGTCGGGTGTTAAAATGGAATGCCTGTCACCACCATGACACCTGCACAGGTGTTGAACCAGTTGGTATACATCCATCCAGATAATAATGTTTGCTAACACAGAGGAAGTTGCAAAAGATTCCAAGCATGGCCTGAAGGCTCCCTGTGGGCTCAGGTCCTTGCAATAGACACAGGTGAGCCAGAATTGTGAAACAACATGGTTTCTGGTAGAAACTTCTGGACACTCAGTTGGAAGAGATTTCAAGGAAACCTTGGTATTTATTATTTAATTCTAGAGTTTGCATGTGCTAGACAAACTCTTTGACACTGGCCTACATTACCAGATCCCTAATAGATTCTTTAAATATGACCCACAGGTGAAAGACACCATTTGAGGTGTCTGCTTTGACTTTGGCTCAGTAACAGTTCCTGTGAACAGATGACAGTCATGCCCCTGGCCCTGTGCACCTCTGGGTATCCACACCCCTCATTACACAATTTAGCCATCTCTTGTCTGTAGCAGAGGGTTGCCTCTCTCTGACTCTGGGCTCAACAACGGGACTTTCTTTGAGCAGTGGAATGTGAGAGACCTGGGGAACAGAACTGCCTTATCATTCCAGTCAAGACCAGTATAGATAAGCTATTGGCTGTCTGGCCTCCAGGCAGACAAGCATAGGCAGCCAATATGAACAGAGCTGCCTAGCCTACTCACCAGGATGTGAAAACACCTAAAGCTTACTATTGCATGCTGCTGAGATATTTAGATGTTTGAGGACATCATCTAAGCAGGACAACGTGTGCACTTTCAGTGACAGATCTAGTGAGACAGATTGGCCTCCAACAAACTGCACATGTTTATAGTGCAGTCTGGTAAGCGCTGACATATGTCTTCACTCATGAAAGCATTACTATATGAAGAAAATGGGCATCATTATTCCCGAAAGTCTCCAGGTATCACATCAGTGAAATCTTACCTTCTCTTTCCTTGGTCCACCCCTAAGCAGCTAGTGATCTATCACTAGAGATTCATTTATATTTCCCATGAGTTAAGATAAATAACATTGAATAGTATGTCCTCATGTTTGGCTATTGTTAGATTTCCAGAGTTATTTCCAGATTCATTTTTGTTGTAATGTGCATAGGCAGTTCGTGCCAATCTATGCCTGACTGGTATTGCAGACGAGTGGGGATAAACCTCACTTTGCTTATAATTCACATGCCAATAGATGATATGGTTGCTTCTAGTCTTTAGGTATTATGAATTGAGTTGCTATGAGCATTTCCATACAGTCTTTGTATGGCTATGTGCTTTTGCTTCTCTTGGGTAGATAGATGCTTGGGAGCAGAATAATCAGGTCATGTGGCAGCTGCATGTACAGGTTTTGAAGAAACTGTCAAACTGTTTCAAAGTAGGTGCACTGTTTGCATTCCCACTAGTGCATGAGAATTTCGCAGCCTTGCCAATGATCCAGTCTTTTTAATTCTAGTCAACCTAATATACATGCATGGTTTCTCGCTGTGATGCGGATTTACATTTCTCCAAGGACTAATGATGTGGAATGTCTTTTCATGTTTGATATCAGTTATATTTTGTGTTGGCTTCCAATACTATATTTTAAAAGGAAATGTTTTAAAATTTTGATGGGATCTAATCAGAAGAATTTTATTAATTCTTTTACTATGGACTAAACTTTTGATATTAAACTAGGCAATCTCAGCCTAACTCAACACAGAGATTTTATCCTATTGCTTAATAAGAGTTTTATTGTTTTAAGATGTGCATTTTAGTCTATGATTTTTTTTGCGCCCTTTAAAAATTAGATATAAAGTAGAGATAGGTAATTTAATAGAATGGATATTTAATTGTTTATCATGCATTAAAGAGGTACCTCTAATATACGAGTTGCCTTTGTGATTGTTCACTTTTCCTTGGCAAGCCATACATTCTGCTTCTCTTCAAGGCGTGACTGTGCTGGCTAGAGATCCGTCCCAGCACTGATTCTGTGTGGCGAGGCTGGACATCCTTGGCTTGTTCTGACCTCAGGAGAAAAGCTTCTAGTCTAAAACTTTCAGAGTGCTGCATGGTTTTTGTGTGTCTGCTTTTAGATGCTTTTATTCAGCCTTCAAGAAACATACCTTATGCTATATATAAAAAACACTTTATTTTAAAAGAACGGGAAAGGGTATTCCCAGTAAATGGAACTCAGAAACAAGCAGGCTATTATAATATCTGACAAAATGGACTTTGAACTGAAACTAATCATAAGAGATAAGGAGGAAGAGACAGTTTATACTTATTAAAGGAAAAACCCAACGACAGGATATTATGATCTGAAACATATATGCACTGAATAAACATATTTCTCAATTTCATAAAAAAGACTATTCAATTTAAAATCTCAGTTTGACTCCAACAGAATGATAGTAGGTGGTTTCAATATCTCACTTTCACAAATAGACAAGTCATCTGTGAAAAAAGCCCTAAATAAATAATAAATAGAGAATAGAGAATTTGAGGAGCAAACCAAAGGGGTATAATGACTATTTAAAGAAGATCCCATTTGAAGCCTGAATATTATAGAATTCTTTCAGTAGACCAAGGAATTTTCTACAAAATAGACTACACATTAGGCCACAAAGCAAATGTCAAAAAATACAGGAAAACTGAAATTACATCCTGATTATTACCTAACAACCATGGATGCTGGATACTAAAAACAGAAGAAATGACAGGAATGTACACAAACTCATTAAGCTAAATGACACACTACTGAATTTTGGTAAAATTCATATTTTACCAAACTGAGCAAAGTCTTTAAAAATGGATGAGTTTCTAGATAGATATGATGTACCAAAGTTTGTAGTGGCATTTCATTTGTATTTTAATAAGTAAAGTTTTTCTGGGTATCAGGAAGGTAAAACAGCCACACTGGCCAGCCTTACAGACCAGCCAGCAATGACATATACATTTAATCCCATCAGACACACTAGTTGTCATAGAAACCGGGTGGTGCATGACTTCAATCCCAGTGGTGCACACCTTTAATCCCAGCCCTAGAGAGGATTACAAAAAGCAAGGAAACATCTCTCAACTCACAAACTCATTCTGAAATTCCTGGAGGCAGAATCACCATTTCAGACTGAGGTGAGGTAAGAACCAGTGGCTTCCTGTTTTGCTTTTCATATCTTCAGGTTGAACCCCAATTTCAGTCTCTGAAGTTTTATTAATTGCGCTTCAAACATTAAACCAAGATGAAGCTAATAATCTAAGTGAATTTATAATATCCAGTGAGCTACAAGAAGTAATTGAAAGCCTTCCAAATAAAAAAAAAAAATGTCCAGGGCCAAAAGGACTCAGTGTAGAATTCTACCAGACTTTCAAACACCAATATTTCTCAAACTGTCTCACAAAACATAAAAAGAAGGAAAATTTCTAAATTCTTTTTAGGAAGCCATTATTACCCTATATCAAAATTAGACAACTACCAAGAAAATTATAGGCCTGTATTTTTGATGAAATAGATGCAAAAATTCTCAACAAAATGCTTGCAAGCTGAAGTCAAGTACACATAAAAAAGATTATCCATAGTGGTCAAGTCTGACTAATCCCAAAGACTCAGGGATGGATCAATATACATAAATCAATAAATACAGACACTAAAGGATAGTAACCACATGATCTCTCCTTTGATGCAGAAAAGGACCCTGATGAAATCCAACAACTCTTCATGATAAAAGTCCTGGAGAAACCAGGGATACAAGAGACATGTCTCAACATAACAAAGGCAACATCCTGGAAGCCCACTGTCAACATCATATTAAATAAAGAAAATCTCAAGTATTTCCACAAAAATTAGGAAAGAGACATAGATGTTCACCCTCCTCACTCTGTTCAGTACAGTACTTGAAGCATTAACTAAAGCATTAAGAAGAAATAAAGGAGATGAAAGTGGTATAACTAGAAAAGAAGGAAGTTGAATAATCTTTATTTGCAAATGCCATGATTCTATAAATAAATGACCATAAATATTCCACCAGAAATCTCCTATGGTGAAAAATACACTTAGCAAAATTAATTACAAAACTTATGCAGAAAGCAGTAACCTTTCTATACACAAATGACAAACACACAGAAATAGGAATCAAGGAAACAATACCATTCACATTAGTCTCAAAAAA